GAGGTGGTAATTTTCGTTCTTTTTTTCTGAAAACTTCATTGTACATTTCTTAAATATACAATTTGTTTGCCAGGTGATATAAATATTTTTATTGTAAGTCAACAAAATGTATGTAAATAGTAAATAAGAACCCAAAACAGAAATAGATGTTCCAATGTAAAATGTTAATAAAAACACTTAATGATTTTCCCATCACATGTTATTCACAATAGAACAGTGAAATGATAAAAATATGATGATTAAGTGGTACTAAAAGTAAACTGATTAGTATAACTGGCAACTGATCAGTAACACAACATGATTTGGGGTTGTGTAGGTCTGCGAAGGACAGTATCATTGTTAGTGGCAATGCAAATAGTGTTTGCCTGAAATCAGTTCTAAATAGTTACAAAATTATATACATTTACCTAAAGGCACAGGGTCACCAGGACACTGTAGTCTATTTTGACTATTTACTATTTTAGTACTGCTTAATTCATACTTTAGCTGGGTCAGAGACCTAAGAAACTCATTCTGGAGACACATCTCATCCTGCAAAAGAGCACAAGTGTTCAGGTTCAATATTAAGTATTTTTCATAGGGGAGTATGATTTTGGCAGCTCCCCAATGTGTTTATTTTTATTTGTGTACACTCAAAATAAAACATTTTGCTTTTGTAAAATAGAAAACAAACAAACTGTCGTCTCGGTTTCCTTTCCGTCAACTTGTTTGAGGCTCACAATAATGAACCAAACTCAGCAGCACACTGTCACACTGTTTTTTCTTTCGTTTTATTCAATCAAATGCATTTAGCATATTTCTTTTATATAGGCCTATAGACTGATTTTATAGAAACAAATTTAAAAAATTTAATTCATTTTTTAATGTAGGCCTAAGTCATCCTGGCGAGTCTTGCGACCCGGCACTGTTAGACATGTCAAGGGGTTTTCACAGTAACTTACTGTAGCCAAAAACTTTAAATCAATGTTTAAGAGCTCTAAAGCAAAAACCTCTATGATAACGTCTGGAAAAACAATACATTTCAATACAAAAAAATAGAGAAAAAAAAATACACTAATAAATAGCTTAAGTAAATGAATACATATCCTTGCCTAAATACATATAGAAATGCATAAATGTGTAGAGCCATTTACAAAAAGTATTATATCACATAACATGAATGATTGTGGAAAATCCAAATATAGCAAAGGACATGTATAACTCAGGAGGAGCTGTCAATCAAACATCGTTAGCGTCTTCTGTCATTGTCTGATTGCTGGAATGAGTGATGAAGAGTATAGAAACAGCACAGGAGGAAGGCTCTCTTTAAGCAGTGTTTGCTTGTGTCGGGATCTCTGGTACACCTGACTGGAAGAACATCAATAGTAATGTTATGTTAATGCTTTCACAACGACCAGACAATGTTTTCAATTCCAGTTTAAGCTAAGGACAAGGAGAAAAAGTAAAAAAAGTTCAGAATTTTTCCAGCCATTTAGTAATTTGTTTCTCTCATCTCACACACGTATAAGTATTTATTTATGCAGCAATGTGTGGATTTGTGTATTCGTTAATGTTTTGTAAGTGTCTTTATTTATTCAGTGCTTTTGCAGGATAGGCCTATTCCAGTTCTCACTGATGTGAAGGACGAGTACACACAGGTCAGCATCCAATCCACCAAACTATCGAAACTGCTGCGTTTACACAAGTCAGACAACGACATTTGTCAATGTGAATAAATGTTGTTATTGTACAGATGGTAGTCAACCAAAACCTTTGATAGAATGACTTATTTTGTGCGGATTATTAGAGCATCATTAACATTTAGGTTTTCTCAAGCAACAAAATATGGACACATGATGTAAATAAGACTTTCATTGTGTAGCCAGCTTCAGTGGTTATATTAACAATAAACGTTTTTGTCTTTCTCTACAGTCCATTTATGATTTGCATAAATTCTTTCATTTCTTTTTTGAATCTGCTAAATTATCACTCACAAGATTTAAGACTGACAGTGATAACCAACGGATGAAAAATGCACATATTCACGTTAAAATTTGATTTATCTAAATATTTGTGTCCCTTTAATGATTAAATGCATTTATCTCTGTAGTGATGTGAGCATGTTGTATTTATTATGTAAGCAGTTTTTTTTTATTCAGTTGAATGAATAGCAACAATTTATGAGGCAGTGTTTTGTAAATTTGTACAATAAAAATAGGAATTTTAAAGGTGTTTACTAGTAAATGTATTAATCTATAAATTAATGTACTAAGTGACAAAGTAATTTATGTTTGGATATTTTAACGGATAATAAAAAGAGCAAATTTAAAATGAATTAATAAATGAGATATTAAAACATCAAAAACAGTTCAAATAAAAAAATAATACAAAAAGGAAAACAAAACAGAAGTACACCCTTAAAAATGCATGAATGCATTCATAATTAAATAGTGGAATTTAATGTTGAAAATGCATTTTCAAAATATAAATAAATAACTGGATTCTCAAAATGAATGACAATTTCTTTGTTTGCTCTGCGTATTGATAAATACATGCATTTGTATATAAAAAGGGACATATGATCACCCTATGTATGAACAGGTCCTTGCACAGTTATGATTTATTATTATACGATTTGGTGTTAACTTATTAAGAGGCTTTTCTGTGGTATCTAAATGATTCTGTCTCACAGCAGTAAACTTAATTGTCCATATTTAAATATTACAGCAGTTTGTACATGTCCTTCCTGCAGTGCAAAACACTTTGTATTTGCCAGTGGGAGACAACCCAGTGAAGATATCTGTGCTACAAAGAGGAAAAACTGCACACAAAAAAGTGACAGAAAATTCCAATATTAACCAACTGCAGAACCACAGAACCATGTGAGGACGACAGCGCCAGCCTAACCGTCTGATGCCGGAAGTGTGCGGAGTTCATGTTAAACGCGGAGCACACAGAACCATAGATATATACAAACAGAACAAGGAAAAGAAGAATATAACAAGTTCTATCTCTGATGGATGCAATATACTTAACATTATACAAAACGGCTCTAAGTATTTTTTAAGTTAAAGGGGGGGTGAAATGCTATTTCATGCATAGTGAGTTTTTTACACTGTTAAAGAGTTGGATTCCCATGCTAAACATGGACAAAGTTTCACAAATTAAGTTGTAGGTTTGATTGAGTATTTCTGTTCTCAAAATACTTCTTCCTGGTTGTCACAAGTTTCGGAAAGTTTTTTTTCGAGTATGGGCGCGTATGACGTCAGATGCGCCGGAATTTCCTTATACGGTCCTAAGGGCACTTCTCTCGGAAGGGCGCGCGCGCAGCTGTAGAGCGATAGCCGTAACCTGTGCCCATCAAAGCGCTGTGCATTATGGAATTACATTTGTGTCAATAATAATGAACGTAACTTTATAAAACTGAACGTAACTTTTTCAGAAACTATCAAAATATTCCATTACAAAAGAAGAAAAACACAATTAAAATGAAAATAATTAACTCAGTCGCACGAATTTAACAGGCTCTTCAAATATGCTTCATTTTTTGTTATTGGTTTTCAAAGATTAGTTTTCGCAAATCGTGGAGTCTGAATACATTGCTACAGATTTCGTTTACGCTTCTCAGTTTTTCGTTTGCTGCCACAGATTTCGCTTACGCTTTGGAGCTTTTCGTTTGATGTTTTGAGACAAATCTCTCGTGGGGGTGGGCTTAACAGTGATCTACTCTGATTGGATAGTGAGCTTTTGATGGACAGGCGCTCTCTGACCCGGAAGTACAGACGTCACTCAGTGGTGCGCACATTGGAAAGCTCTCGCGGTTAGACATTCAGTTACGCAATACTTCGTGCTTTGTTCTATTACTAACAATATATGTAAATAATACTTGACCTACAATTATATAATTTAATATTATATGAGACCGTCGGCTTCCTTCGTCTCAGTCTGTGAGGATGAGCTCTCAGGAGAGACACGGAGCGGCATCATCTTCCTCCTCAGCTTGCTCTTCAAGGCAGCTTGTAGTAAGTTCGTGTCACTGAAGTAACCAATAACATTGATACAAGTTTTATCCATGTAATGTTACAGTGTGCAACAGTTCTGGCTTTATTTTACAAATGTATTGTTTAAAAAACTGTTTCATATATCAAGATACGGTGTGTAGATATAAATAAAATAAATAATATGTTTGCCTAATCTTCCTTTCTTTTAATGCTAACGTTTCTCAGGACCAAAGACAAATGTCTCTTTTCCAGGTAACGTTAGGCACTGAATGATGGTATATAAATTATACAGCTTAATTAGGGTAAAACTGGTTTGCTAATCCTTATGATAATGGCTGACTTTGTAAAAATTAACTGGAGGAAGAGAGAGAAAGAGAAAAAAAGGATTGTCTTAACTAACCTTAAGGGGCTGTTTTTTTGTTGTTTACCTTTAGGAACAAGTGCAACACGACATTTTACAGCATATGCTGTCAAAGTTTAGCTTGATTATTCGAAATGAAACATTAGATTTGGATTACCTCTTGGATACTGCGCGGCAAGAACTGGATTTGGCAATTACTGCTTCAAATCATGTCAACATCCCAGAAGCTTTAATTGCAGGTCTACAGGAGCTAATCAGCATAATTCATGTAAATGTAAGTCCGGAAGAAACTTCAACACCTACATCTGATATTTTAACCTGCACTTGGGGAAACGTGGGACGCCCACGTTTAGATATCAGCAGGGATGACCTTGTGGAACTCCTTCGTATGGCTCTCCCTGTAGAACATCTTTCTAGGATCTGTGGTGTTTCAAGAAGCACAATGAACAGAAGATTGAAAGAACACACCCTGTCTGTCAGAGCCTGCTATTCCAACATTTCAGATAAAGAACTTGATAATGTTGTAAGATCAATAAAAATAAGAATGCCACATGCAGGCTACAGACTAATGAAAGGTGAACTTTTGGCAAGAGGGCACCGGATACAGTGGCACAGGATGAAGGCCTCTATGCGACGGGTGGATGGAGGTGGATGGAATTTTGGCCAGAATGGTTCAGCTTGGTTTCATAGCTCGCAGAAGCTACTCTGTTCCTGCACCATTGTCCTTAGTTCATGTGGACACCAATCATAAGCTAATCACGTGGGTATTTTCTCTCTTACACTCACATATACAGAAAATCTTAGTTGTTTCTTTACATAATGACACATGTACACATTAAAAATGCCTTAAATAATAAAAAAAAGATACCCTAAACTAAATGACTGCTAACAAACAGTATAGTCTTATGTTCATATTTTTGTTTTTTAGATTCAATATTGTGATATTTGGTGGGATTGATGGTTTCTCAAGGAAGGTACTGTTTGTCAAGCTCTGAATTTGTTCTGTTTTAAAACTTAAATAAAATATTTTCCCCAAAAACTAAAACTGTCATCACTTGTTCCAAACCTATATACATTTCTCTCTTATGCTGAATGCAAAAGAAGATATTTTGGGTAAACAGTTGATGGTAGCCATCTACTTTGGATTTGGATTACCACAAGGATACTACTCGGCAAGGCCTTTAGAACTTTCAAGTAGATTTTATAAAGGGACCATTATACCATTACTCGAGGTCAAACATGCATTTTAATCTGGGATTAGGTTTAAGTCTTGTCTGAGAAACTGGGCTATATATATATATATATATATATATATATATATATATATATATATATATATATATATATATGAAATACTGCTTGCAACATGTCCATTTAAAGTGAAAATTATTTTAAGAAATATCTTTCTCCTAAACCCCTTTTTTCATAGATCCTATACCTTGATGCTGCTGAAAACAACAAGGCATCAACTGCCTTCTCATTCTTTCTGGAGGGTGTTCACAAACATGGGTGGCCTTCAAGGTAAGAACACTGTTAACATGTGATGTCTTTTTTTTTTTTGGAGTCAACATCTTAACTACATTTCACAAGTTCACATGTAATTCAATAGAATAAAGATTACTCCCAGAGTACTCCCCCAGTGTGGTAAAAATAGATAGAACTATAAGTAAGGAGATGGGTGGTGGAGGCGTGGAAGAATTGTGTAGTGCACACAGAAGAGGTGTAGTTGATTTGATAGATCAAGCACTCCATCTTCTACCATTGCATGTAGGGTTTCGTAGTATTTTGATGTGACGGCTGACCACACATCACGCCACAGGCGCTCAATTCTTAAAAAAAAAAAAAAAAAAAAAACTGTACTGTAATGCCTTAAATACATTTTGTTCCAAAAATAATAAAAACTACGACTTTATTCAGCATTGTATTGTCTTCCGATTCTGGAAGTTGTAGTTTTTGTTATTTTTGGACCAAAATGTATATTCGATGCTTCAAAACATTCTAACTAACCCACTGATGTCACATGGACTACTTTGATGATGTCTTTATTTCCTTTCTGGACAAGGACAGTATACCGTACATACATTTCCAATGGAGGGACAGAAAGCTCTCGGACTAAATCTAAAATATCTTAAACTGTGTTCTGAAGATGAACGGAGGTCTGACGGGCTTGGGACGACATGAAGGAGAGTCATTAATGACATTTTAATTTTTGGGTGAACTAACCCTTTAATGTTATCTGTGTATAATCAATATAATTAATTTCCTTACCCTTATTTCATTAAACCTGTGTGAATTACTTATTTACAATGATAACTCTTCAGGAGCATAGTAGCCGAACCCTTTGTAAATGTGCCTTACTTGACAACTTGATTTTTATAATTTAAAATGCATTTTAATAATAGATCTGAATATGAGTAAAGTTACATGAGTTTATAACAACATGGATACAAGTCATTGACAATATTTCAAAACAGTTGGCATTTTGACCTACTTAATGTTTCTTTGATTTTGCAGATAATCGAGCAACTGTGTCAACAGCAAACGTCTGATACTGACCCAGAAGATGGTGTGGTGATTCCAGAGATCCAATGCCCTTTATCTGAACAGAGCTTTGCTGTTCTGCAGGGATTAATTGATCCCCTGACATCATCACTGAGCTACCGAGATCTCTATGTCCAGTCACTTGATATTATTCAAAGACTGAGCTTTACTAACATTTGACTTTTGTAACATAAAAAAAGAAACTTGGACAAAAAAAAACAACAAAAAACATATGTTGTTACATCAGAAATTTAATTCACAAGAACATCACATGTAAGAGCGTTTTGGCAAAACTAACTTCATCACACTGTTGTGCAAATCTAAAACTTTGTAAGCCACTCTTTTGATAATAAATGATAAAGTAGGGTTTTTTTTTTTTTTTTTTAAAGAGGGGAAATTAATTAAAAGGACGTAAGTGCATTAACAAATCTATTCTAAACCCTGTAAAAGTAAGCTCCCTGCTGCACTGCAATTTTCATGTTTTCTTTAAATTCATTTAAACTTGTTAAATGTGCAGTGGGAAATGTGATTGTCTGGGTGCATGCACTGACAACAGGGTAGCAGATTCTGTGGTTTGGCATACGTTCCATGCATGTATGGTCAAATAGAACTGTGATTTTAAAAGCTTGTCTCTCTGAAAGGAGCAGATGTCTATGTGCTTGACCAGACAGCCACTGCATTACTTTTGACACAGAAAGTGCCTCCTCATCCTCAGAATCTCCATCTAGGGCAGTAAACATACATGCATATATTTAAAGTATCTAAAAATAGACATTGCCTTAACACTCGAGTTACAACAAATTTACCTTCAAGTTCCATTAAAAAATCTTGGAAGTTATTCAAGATTTGCATTTCTTTGCTGTGCTTTAGAGTGCCACTCTCACTCATTTGTGGGTCAAGATGTGACGCAATGTAATCAGAGTCCACCTGGAAAAACATTCCAGAAAATAAAAAAAACAAATATCATCTAAAGAAAATGCCATATTCAAAAATAGGAGTTCAAAAGAGTTTCTCTAACACAGTGGTTCTCAATTCTTGTTCTGGGGACCCACTGCTCTGCATATTTTGTATGTCTCTTATCTGAGATAAACTGTTTAGTTCATGGAGCTGTCTTATAACAAGCTGATGACCTGAATCTAGTGCTTAAAAAAAAAAAAAAGACAAAATGTGCAGGGCTGCGATTCCCCAAAGCATTGTAACCCTAAGTTGATCAACTTAGGATAACAATGGTCTCAGGACTTCAGTTGAGAACCACTGCTCTAATGATTTTTACAAATATATGCACCTTACCTGATCATTGCCACCTTCAAAAACAAAGAGGCCACGGCACACTTCTTTGTTCTTCTCCATGATGTCCACTAGACGGTAAAGTTGAAGGCCCTCACGGAGCGGCTGAAGCATTGGAGTTCTTCGAGCAGCGGCATGCATTGCAATTGCCCTTTATAGAACAGAAACAAACATTGTTTTACAATCTAATAATTATTACTTGCATTGTTTGTAAAAAAAGATTTAAAGGGATAGTTCATCCAAAAATGAAAATGTGATGTTTACCTGCTTGCCCCCAGGGCATCAGATATAGGTGACTTTGTTTCTTCAGTAGAACACAAATGATGATTTTTAACTCAACCCGTTGCAGTGTGTCAGTCGTATAATGCATGTCAATGGGAACTTCATCTATAAGAGTAAAAAACATGCACAAACAAATTAAAATTAAACCCTGCGGCTTGTGACGACACATTGATGTCCTAAGACACGAATCAATTGGTTTGTGCAAGAAACCAAAGAGTATTTATAAAAAAGCATCCTGTGTGTGAGGTCTGAAAAAAGCATCCTGTGTGAGAGCTCTTACGCATATACATCAATGAGTGCGAGGGATCATTTCCGGCATCAGAGAGTGTTCAGACCTCACAAACCAATCGCATCGTGTTTTAGGACATCAATGTGTCATCACGAGCCACAGGGTTTAATTTGGATTTATCTGTGCATGTTTGTTTTTTTACGCTAATAGATGGAGTTCCAATTGCTGTGCATTATCCGACTGACAGACTGGATCGGTTGGAGTTAAAAATCATCATGTGTACTACTCAACAAAAAAAGTCACCTATATCTTGGATGCCCTGTGGGCAAGCAGAAAAACAAAATTGAAAAAAATAATAATAAATTGAGTGAACTATCCCTTTAAGAAATGCATAAAGTGATACCTCTTTATATTCTCCTTGTTTTGGTCATTTATAGGGCCAGTGTAGCCACAGCTCGTAATTTGCTCACAGTAATTCAACAGGTCTGAAGTCTCCTCGATCTAGAAAGAATTTTAGGTTTTCTTGAAACATTCATAAAAGGTACATAGCAATAGAACAGGTGGTAATTTAACAGGTAATCATAACACCACTCCTGTAGAAATCGTGGAGCTGGACCACCTTGAGCGAGACTTACGGCAAATATTTCCCCAGCAACTCTATGTAACAAGGACAGAAAAATTAAATACAACTTCTACAGTCAGCGACTACATTTAAAACTCATGTTCAAAAGGAATTTGCTCTTAATTGGAATTGAAAAAGGAATTTATTTTCTGTTTTTACAGAATTTTCTGTTTTTATAGACTCCTTATGCAAGTCTAATCTAAACAATGTTTGATGAACTATTTTCTTAATGACTTAAATTTCTTTAATGACACTTACCGAAACAGGCCATTGTCAAGGTCATTTAGTGAGTACTTAGGCATTTTTCCTTTACCATTTTCTCCTTCAAAGAGCCGGGTCTCTATGGCACTAATCATTTCTATAGTAAAAAAAAAAAAAAGCTTAATTCAGCAACATTCCAACAACAAACAATCTATCTGAGCAGAACAAATTAATTACATTGTAAAGGTTTTGTGGTCAAGGCTATCAGATGCAAAAATCCTCACCTGTCAGGAATTCTTTACGGAGAGCGCCTGTGTCGACTCCAGCCTCTCCCATGAATGTCACCTTTAAAGTGTGGATTGGGGAGCTAAGCTTTTGTCGCTTCCACAGTGACATTCCTCTTTCTAAGAGGTTCATTCTAGACACACAGATACTTAATTCTTTGGAGGTGTCAACTTGAGCAGCAAGCCATCGCAGTACATCCTCTTCACTGTCAAATTGTGATTAAAATGGAGAGTTTGAGACAGCATTATGATATACCAGTTATGTTTATTAAAGTACATTATTAAGTAAGAATACTGTTGATACTTTTCTTAAGTAATATACCATGACATTTCTTCTTTTTGTGACTCCATTATATCAGGGCTTAGAAGGCCAACTGGACTAAAGAGAAAATGCATGTACAAGTGAAAATTTAAACCATAATCGTTAAACAAAAAACAAAAAAAATTACTTTAGTGTATAAATAACTAATTTGCACAAAATGTCAGCTGCCATGTAAACATAATTTCAAAATGCAATGTTTAGAATCATGCCACATAATGCACCACAAAATTACATTGTTGATTTTGTTCATAGTAATTACCATTACCTATCTAAATCGCCACAAAAACTTGCATGGAGCTCCAATTCCTTCGCAGGAAAACTTTGCTGACAAACAGGACACTTTGCCTCTGGTGACTAAAAAGCAAGTAATGATGTAAAATACACATTATAAGAAGTCAGAATAATGTCAGTCCAAGCAACAAGGTAAATTACCTCTTCTTCAGTAACAGGAGGTAATTCAGGTGAATCAGGAGGTAGATCAGTCAGCTAGAAATAGACAAACCATTTTACATACATTAACACCACACATTAATCTTAAAGAATAATCATGAAGTTTATTAAAAATCTTACCTCTGGTTCTGAGTCAGAAAGCGTCTCATATTCAGCAGTGTTGCATTCCTTTACGTGCAGAGCAAGAATCTGTAGTGGCATAGATTTGAAGCATTTCTTACATTCTGCTTTAGGCATTTGAGAGAACTCCGGGGCATCAGATGGTAGAGGTGACAGGTCAAACTCATCTTGTAATGGAACAATGTACAACATTGTTTTCCCCCCTACAGTTGCACTTCTAATTGTGCTCCCACAGTAGCCTTCAGACTCCGGAGGAACTAGATTTAACCGCCTTCTACCCTGTCCACCTGGATAAATAAATATTATGAAATTGAAATGCCATCCAATTCCATTAAAACTGTATATGATGTAATTGTAAGTTTAAAACACAAAAACACAGTCAGTGCCAATCTATTGAAATGCGCAAAAATAAATGAAATGACATTCACAAAACTATCGGCACTGTGCAATAATGTAAAACTAGTTCCTGTTGTGTTAGTTTACAGATCACACCAGTTGCTTTGTAAAGAAGCCAGCCTCCAGATGCAGAGTTCATTTTTGGGTATGCATCACTGAACAAGCTAGAGACCTAAAATCCACATTTAACTCAAGATTAGAAAATAATTCTAACAAAGGTTTTTAGTCGTTGATAAAAAAGGAAGGCATAGCTGTTTAATAAAGGAATGGTGTGTAAATATACATCACCTCTGAATGTTTCAAGTCATCAGGCATGGTAAGATTCGGTTTTCCCAAGCCAGCTTGCAAAAGCTGCACCTCATCAGCTGGTGACGGGGCCATGTCTGTATTTTTGTTTAACAGAAAAACTGAAAACACAAAGGGTTTCCATATTTTGTTGCACTTTGCTGGTCTACTACAGCTGGGTAGCCGTCTTTTCGAACCACGCTTAAAAAATCCAGGGAAAGACCTTTGAAAATAAAATTAGTATTGCATTATTTTTTGTTACATTAATGTGTTTATTCGGGAACACAAAGAACCTCAAAATGGCCCCTGACTACTACCACTGCTCTAATTATAAGTGCTCAAATGTATTGTAAATACATGCTAAATACAATGTGGCTGTTTTGTCCATTGTCGTGACTGCAAAACTGAAACCTGGCCATATCTTGGTCCACTGTATGACTCTGCCCCGACTGCTGCTGACCCTGCCTTGTGCTGGTATTCCCGAGCGACTGGTTAAGGACTTCAATGATGTTTTGAACAGCTGCAGATGATGCAGCATCTGCACCAAGATTTCTGTCTTGCTGTAGAATAAAGACCAGTTTGATATATGCATTGTCTACATTGACAAGTCCTTGAATATAATAACTGTGCAAAAGAGCAAACAATCAAGCTACAAACATCATGATATGACATCAGTGCATTGCAAACTTGTGAATGACAATAATAACCCGCAACGAACTGTTGCACACTGTAACATTACATGAATAAAACTTGTATCAATGTTATTGGTTACTTCAGTGACACAAACTTACTACAAGCTGCCTTGAAGAGCAAGCTGAGGAGGAAGATGATGCCGCTCCGTGTCTCTCCTGAGAGCTCATCCTCACAGACTGAGACGAAGGAAGCCGACGGTCTCATATAATATTAAATTATATAATTGTAGGTCAAGTATTATTTACATATATTGTTAGTAATAGAACAAAGCACGAAGTATTGCGTAACTGAATGTCTAACCGCGAGAGCTTTCCAATGTGCGCGCCACTGAGTGACGTCTGTACTTCCGGGTCAGAGAGCGCCTGTCCATCAAAAGCTCACTATCCAATCAGAGTAGATCACTGTTAAGCCCACCCCCACGAGAGATTTGTCTCAAAACATCAAACGAAAAGCTCCGAAGCGTAAGCGAAATCTGTGGCAGCAAACGAAAAACTGAGAAGCGTAAACGAAATCTGTAGCAATGTATTCAGACTCCACGATTTGCGAAAACGAATCTTTGAAAACCAATAACAAAAAATGAAGCATATTTGAAGAGCCTGTTAAATTCGTGCAACTGAGTTAATTTTTTTCATTTTAATTGTGTTTTTCTTCTTTTGTAATGGAATATTTTGATAGTTTCTGAAAAAGTTACGTTCAGTTTTATAAAGTTACGTTCAGTTTTATAAAGTTACGTTCATTATTATTGACACAAATGTAATTCCATAGTGCATCGGCTGCGCTGCAATATGGCACCAAAGAAGTGTGTTTTCGGTTGCCAAGGCAAGACAACACTGCAGAGATTCCCAAAGAATCAAGCGTTAAGGGACCAGTGGATGGAGTTTGTTTTTCCAGAACATCAACACAGTTGTGCAAGTGTTCTTGTTTGTTCCATGCATTTCGAGGATGATTTTTTTATAAACAAGGCCCAGTTTGAAGCCGGATTTGCTAATCGTTTAGTTCTCAAGGATGGAGCAGTCCCAACACTACAGGTTAACGGTCTTGCGTTGGAACTGCAGGCGGTGAGTAGAACTGCTTCAAATATCATCTGTGTGTGTCTATCGGCGTGTAACTTCAGCACAGCAAGTAGGCTAAACAACATGATAACGTATAGTTAATGTATCTATGGAGCATGTGATGTATGTTGTGTGTGTGTTTAAATACATTTGTTTAGGTGGCTACTGTAGTAGGTGTCTGTTTGTTTATTGTAAAACCAAATCATGTCTTCATAAACCACGAGTAGACACACACAAATGTTCTAAAACTCGCGCATGACATGGTGTTCTAAAAACACAGTGCTCAAGTTCAAATCATTTATAATTTTTAAAAACACTCGATCTGGTTCTGGATAAAAAAAATGTATGGCTGAATTTGATTGTTAGCCATTGTTTGTTTTAGGATGTCACAGCTTCCAGATGCTCTCAACGTAAAAGCTTTGCGCGCTCGTGATTATTTAGCTCCGCCCACACGGCACGCCTCCACCCGCTCGGCTTTTTCCGGAAAGACTCGGTACAGCCTATCTTTCTTTTATAAATATAATGAAACTAAAGACTTTTTGGAGATATGATGGATGCAATATTACTCTATAGGTACTCAAGATTAACATGAGATTGACTGAAACTGAGTGTTTCACCCCTCCTTTAATATGCAACAATAGGCCTACTATTGATCTGTCATTAGGCGCGTTTCCATTACAGATATGTGCAATTGTAGCAGTTTTACTCTGGTTGTGTTTATTTTCTGTTCAATGAAGACAACGCCGATTGAAGAGGTCTCAGGATCTTTATTCTGCAGAAATACAGGGCACAATTAATATTCTTTTTCGTGGGATACACGTCTCTCCCCCTCAGTCATAACAGCTCATAACAGCACGGAGAAAGCAGCACGCTCGTCAAATGAGCGAGAGAGAGCACACCCGACCCCGTCAGCGGCAAATGTGCTTCTCAAGATGTTAATTTAATCAACTAAGAGTTTCAAAACATACAAAACACAAATAATAAAATTAAATAAAATAAAACAATATAGTAAGCCACAAAACACAGGTCCCCCTTAAATGGCATACAAAATAATATACAAGGGAAAATATAATTTCTTCACCACTTACTTGCAGTAGTAAAATACATTAAATGGAGAAAAATGTCAAATTTTGGGTTAATCACACAAATCACAGGTTAATTGCACAATCACATCACTTTTGCATACAGACCTCACTTTTTTGTATGTATCAAACACATTTAAACCTGATATCAAACACATTTCAAACATTTCTCAACATAAAACACAAACAGTTTAACATACCTGCAGAAATACAGGGCACAATTAATATTCTTTTTCGTGGGATACACGTCTCTCCCCCTCAGTCTCATACAGCTCATAACAGCACGGAGAAAGCTAGTAAGCAAAACCAGTCTCGGTAAAACACTCAAGCAATTAACTACATTCAATTTCATGACATCACAGCTTTTCATTTCACTTAAACATTGTTTATCTCACGAAATAAGTCGATTACATAGCTTAATACACTTCAAAATGTTCTTACCAGCACGCTCGTCAAATGAGCGAGAGAGAGCACACCCGACCCCGTCAGCGGCAAATGTGCTTCTAAAGATGGCGCTGTTCGCACATCGCACGAGGTATCGTTGCGTCACCAATATGTGCCCCATATACAACAACATTCTGCATAATTGGTTCCCACTAAAACTATGTACATTTTCGGATTACAACTCAGCATACAAAATATGAAAACAAAAATAATTAAGTTTTGATGAAGTTCACAAACAATCTTAATCTATTCACAATTTTTTTAAACCAGCTACATACTCCCCGCTGAACTTCACAAAACTAGTTCAATATGGATAAGTAGCTGTTCAAAAAGCTACACACAGAATCAACAGTTGACTCTCGACACACTCGACACAGCAACGTATGCTTCCCAAACCACAGGGAAAGTGACCCAAGCAGGCTGATCAGACCAACAAAGGGAACACTTGTAAATAGGGTGCCCCAAACACCACTTCTTAAGCATCAATGTGACAGTTACTTGTTTTTTAAATTGTGAATTACGGCTCTGCCAACTCAGTAGGATGATTTAAATAGGTTCAAAGGAAAGACTCTCATACTACTCATGTGACTGTTCAATCCATTTTATGACAATAAAGACCCTGCAACTCCATTAACTGAACTGGTCATAGTCATTTTTTGGGTCATGTTCTGAATTAATCTGTTCACAGGATTCACAAGCCTGCCAAACCTGGTTCTGACTTGAGTAACCACCTGATTAGGAGGCGAACCCACGGGGTCAGAGGGCCGTATATCGTCAAATGAACCTCCCACTGGTGCTGATATCACTGTGTCACGAATCAATCCTCCATTACTTGAATGTTCAGAAACATTTATCACATCCGAAAGAATCATCCATAGTTGTTGAAAGCACAGATTGAGCAGAATCAGGATCCACTGCCACTGTAGGGAAACTCTCTGCCTTAGAGGATGTTCTGCCCAAGTCAGCATTTGGAGCCACAGCCCCTGCTACCCAACTGGCAGTTCGGTCAGCGTTGCTGTATTCAGACATGGGTGTTAGAACATTGCTCAAAGCTACTTCACTGCAGTCATCAACTGATTCAGTGCCTCCACTGAATGAGGGTTCAATCTCCTCGAACTCGATTGGCAGAAAGCTCGCTTGGAGGAGCAAGTTTCTATGAACAGTCTTTTCCTGACCAGTGTGGGTGTTGCAGATTCGGTAGGTGTGACATTGAGGATTAAAGGCAACGACTGTATATGGAATGGACTCCCACTTATCTGCCAATTTCTTGTGACCACGCTCACCCTTGTTGGCAAGCAGTACTTGATCCCCAACTTCAATACTGCGACCTTTAGTCCTCTTGTTGTACAAGTCTGCCTGGCGTCGCTGACTGGCCTCAGCATTCTTCTGAGCAAGTATCAAAGCTTATTTCAAATCATCCCTCAATCTCTTCACGTACACATCATAATCAATGAGGACGTCGTCCCTCTCCACACTGCTGAACATTACATCCACTGGGAGTCTCGGAATCCTGCCAAACATCAAATAAAAAGGTGCAAATCCAGTAGACTCATGGGCGGTGCAGTTATAAGCAAAGGTCAACGATTGCAGCATCTGCGGCCAGTGTTGCTTGGCCCTAGGTGGCAGCGCCCTGATCATACCGCCCAGAGTTCTGTTGAATCGTTCAACATGACCGTTACCCATAGGGTGATATGCGGTTGTTCTAGACTTCCTCACTCCAGCAATCTGTAGCAATTCATGAATCAGTTGGCTGCAGAAATTGGCACCTTGATCCGAATGGATCCTTTCTGGGAAGCCATATACACAGAAGTATCTGTCCCACAAT